CCAGTACCATGCTGTCTTGACTACCACGGCAGTGTAGTAGGATTTTAAGTCAGGGAGTGAGATGCCTCCTTGGTTGCACCCTCTTAAGTGATATGTTTGTTCTTTTGTCAGTCCATGGGGCTTATTAATAAATAAGAATAAAAAAATCAAATGAGAAGATTTGTATTGGAAGAATCAGATGCATCTTAGGACTCATTTGGCCTCATTTGTATAGCTGGAAAATGCCTAGAAATTATTCATCAGCCTGCTGAACAGTTCCTTTTTTGGGGGACATTCAACAATTTTCAGAATCCTGTTTTTAACTGCTGTAGTTTGCTAAATCAAAGCAGCTGAATTTGATACAAGCTCAAGGTAATTTTCTTCAAGAATTAACTTATCTTTCTGGGTTTGCAATACAAAAAAGCAACACCCTGGTCGCATCTAAACCCTCTGAATGTATTTTCTTTTTAGAAATTATTTTTCTTTTTTTCCCTTTTCTCTTAGTTGAGGCCTATTCAAAATCAATTCTCAGTATAGCATAAAGTTACTGTTGAAATTTGGAAAAGATTGGTCCAGTTGTGTTTTCTCTAATTTGAACCACCTCTACATTTGCAGTATTGACATCATTATGTAGATTTCTAGAATGTCTTCATGTAATCTACTTGACTCCTCTTTTTTTTTTGATCTTCACTCGGATTAACTTCTCCAATTGTTTGTGCTCTGGGTGTATCCATTAGCAAATCATTTCCTTGAGAGTGACTGGTAAGCAGAAGGTGTGTGTACCTGCTTTCTATCCAAGGGCAGTTGTTTAAGTCTCTCAATTCTCAGTTGCTGCTCTTCTGTTAAGTTTCTAACTGACTCAGGAGCAAACTTCTCAGTTGCAGATAAGCTTGTCAAAAGGGATCTAATTCAGCAGCCCTTACACCAAGACCATTATTTTCTACTATTTCATTATTACTGTTGACAAAATCTTCATGTGTAATAGAGAGATCAAGTCAAATTAGTTTTAAACAGATCTGAACTTCTTTTTATTTCCCAAGTATTCAATTCTGTCAACAAAATCCTCAAATTGTTGTTTAGGGAAAAGACTATGTGCCCAATGATTAGTTTTTCAAGTCTTCAGCCTCTGAGCATCCAGTTTGGGTATGTTCCTTTTAACTGGAGGCACGGGAACAGGTATTCTTTGTACTCATCAAGTTCAGCTTGTTTATCTCTTCTCTCTGGAAAGCCTGGAGGTGGGAAAGGAGTGAAGGTTTCATCTTCCACATGCTCATAAAGGGACGCCAATTAAGTCATTCTCCTATGGTCCTTCCAGTATCTTTTCCTCTCATGCAAATTGTGGGCAGCTCCAGCCCTGTGCTGGGCATGAATAAGTTACAATTTTAATGTTCAATAAATGCAATGCAGTGAAAATAGACTAACCTTTTACTTCTAAGTCCCAGGCATTAATTTCTTCATTTTGAATATACAGTTTTATTGAACCCAACTGTTAAGACATTGGTATGAACTTTGACAATGATGTTTACAGAATGTGTGATAACTAGAAAGAACATTATTTTTTCTCAATTTCCCTAGATAAAAGGAGGCAAAGATTATTTACAGGTTATTAAATTGGAGAATATAGCTCCAATTTAATTAACATATACTACTTTTGTCACTATGTGACAGGACAAATTGATAAAAACTACAACTCAAAATATTCACATGGTAATATAAGTATTGATTCTAACCCACAAATTAATTTTAAAATGTTGTTTTTATTTTTTTTGCCATTTTAATACTTCAAATAAATCTCCCATTAAGTTTACTGCTAAATGGAAATAAATTTTTAAAATAGAAAGATTAACAGAAAATAAAAATAACCTGCCTCAGAATATAAGGGCTTACTACTAAAAGAGATAAGTACATATCCCTGGCATACACCTTTCCTGATTTCCTGTACCATGCAGTGTTTTCTTGCTCTGTTCTGATGACTGCCTCCTGGTTCAAGAATAGGTTTTGCATAAGCACAATCAAATGTTCTGGGATTTCCATTCTTCTAAGAGTTAGCCACAGCTTGTTGTAATCCATATAGTCAAATGCCTTTGCATAGTCAATGAAAAACAGATGGACATACCTCTGGTACTCTCTGCTTTGAGCCAAGATCCATCTAACATTAGCTATAATATCCCCAGTGCCACACCTTTTTGCTGTGGTATTAAAGAAGAGTATTGAATATACCATGGACTGCTAAGAGATTGAACATACTGGAGAGGGTTAAACTAGGCTGCTCCTTGGAGGCAAGGATTCTGAAGCTTCATCTGACATACTTTGGACATGCTGCAAGGTGGGACCAGTCTTTGGAGAGGCATATCATTTTTGGGAGGGTGGAGGAACAGCGCTGGAGAGAAAGACCCTCAATGAAATGGACTGATTCAGTAACTGAGTTAGGGATAGGTGTGTCAGAGACAATAAGATTGGTATAAGATAGAGCAGGGTTTAGGGCTGTTGTACATAGGTCTCTATGAGTTGCAAGTGACTCAGCAGTACATAATAACAACCACCATCACCACCACCACCACAGCCTCTACTAAACCCAAACTGCACTTCTGACATAATGCTCTAGTTATTTCTTGATAATTTTTAGCAGAATCTTGCTTGCATGTGATATTAAGGATATTGTTCGATTAATTTCTGCACTCTGTTGGGTCACTTTTCTTTAGAATGGGAACAAATATGGATCTCTTTCAGTCAGTTGGTCAGTTGGTTGTCCTCCAGATTTCTTATGCCCAAAGCATCCTCAAATATTGCAACTCAAGACTTGAATTTGCTCTTAAGTTCCTTCAGCTTAAGAAATGCTGAGTGAGTACAATCCTTTAGATTTTCTGATTCTAGCTCTCTGTACATTTTATTAGAATATTTTACTTTGACATCTCATGCTGCCCTTTGAAATCTTCTGTTCAGCTCCTTAATTTCTTGATTTCTTGCCTTTATTTTGGCTTCTTGGCCCTCTAGCGCAATATTTAGAGTCTCTCCTGACACCCATCTTGGTCGTTTCTTCCTCCTCCGTCTTTGTAATGACCTTCTGCACTCTTCCTGGATGATATTCTAAATATCCTCCCACAGCTCACTTGGGCTTCGCTCAGTGGTGTTTAAGGCGTCCAATCTGTTCCAGAGAAGGTTTTGAAATTTGAGTGCGATAGATGTTAAGGTCAAATTTTGGTTCCTGTGGATGTGATTTCATTTTCTTCAACTTCAGCTTGAACTTGTATATGAGTAGCTGGTGGTCTGCTCCACAATCAGCATCTGGTCTAGTTTTCACAGCTGCTATTTAGTTTCTCCAGTGATTCTTTTCACAGATGTAACTGATTTGATTTCTATGCGTACCATCAGGTGAAGTCCAAATGTATAGCCTGCGTTTGTGTTTCTTATAAAAAGTATTTGCAATAACTAAATCACTGATGTATAGAATCTATCATTCTGTGTCCCAACTCCATATGTTTTCAATCCTTATGCAGAACAGATCATCTGGGAGGCTGCCCTCTATGAGGATAAGTGTTAGGATTGGAGGAAGAGTCATCAACAAGTTCCAAAAGCAGATGACACAACCCTGCTTACTAAATCTGAGAAGGACCTGAAGTGCAGAAGGTCTAGTACTGTAGCCTTCAATATGGATTGAAGCTCAACATCAAGAAAACAAAGATTTTCACTATTGGGCCAATTGGCAGCCTTATGATAGATGGTGAAGAGACTGAGATTGTTAACAGCTTTAGTTTGCTTGGCCCACAATCAACACTCTTGGTACCAGCAGCCAGGAAATTAAAAGAATAACTGCAATGGGAAAGTCTGCTATTAGGGACCTCTCCAGAGTACTGAAGAGCATCAATGTCATTCTGGAGACTAAGGTGCACCAGATCCAGGCCATAGTGTGTGTAATTACTTGCTATGCATCAGAGCTGGGCAATGACTAGGGATGACAGAAAGAGAATTGATGCCTTTAAGCTATGGTGCTGAAGAAAAACATTGAATATACCATGGACTACCAGGAGAACAGATAAGATTGTCCTGGAGAGGGTGAGACCAAGCTGCTCCTTGAAGGTAAGGATTCTGAGGCTTTATGTGACAAACTTTGGATATGTTGCAAAGAGGACCAGTCCTTGGAGAGGGATGTCATGCTTGGGAGGCTGGAGGGACAGCATAAGAAAGAAAGACCCTAGATGAGAAGGATTGATTCAGTGACTGGGGTAGTGAGAGTAGGTGTGTCAAAGACAATAAAGATGGCACAGAATAGAGCAGGTTTCAGGGCTACTGTACATAGGGTTGTTATGGGTTGCAAGTGACTTGATGGCACATAACAACAACAACGACAACAACAACTAATACTATTAACAACCATTTTCTATGATTATTAATGGATCTGATAAAAGTAAACAGACTAAACAGTTAAAATAAATAAAGTGATTATACTAAATGAGAAAGTTGCCATCATAAAGATTCTTATTCATAGTTACCCTGTGTGTTTCAAAATAGAACTCCAGGGGTTTTCAATGGCTATGACCTTTCAGAATTAGATCAATAGGCCTTTCTTTCTGTGTCTTTGGGTGGATTTGAACTGCCAACTTTTTGGCTATTCTCTCAGTGCTTTACAGTTTACATTGCTTAAGGATTTCTAATGAAGGCACTTATAACAAAGGCAATAAATAGGCAAATAATTATGGTTTATGTAATAAAACATTACAGTCATCCTATTACTGGAACTATCTGCTGTAACTGCAAATTGTTTAAGAAATCTAACTTGGAAAAAAAAAGAGACATGTGAGCTTAGAAATAATGTTGTAAAATGCTAAGCAAACACTGCATTAAGTTTTTATTAATTCAACAAAAATGTTCTATACCTCCCTCCCAAATTTTGATGAATGTTTTATTTAATAGTAAATATTTTCTACAAAATAATAATGTAATAAATATTATGTTTCAACCTAAACTAAAATGATCACACCTAAGACTAAAAGGAATCTAAATGCTCATTATTATCAACTTACAATAAGGAAGAGTTGGATGAGAAGTCATTCTTCTGACATTATTAATGGCTTTCTTAATCATCTGTTAACAAAGAAAAATTGTTCTTTTATAATTACAATAAAAAGTAGAATTAAATATATAAATTGAGCTGGATTATTCAAATAACTTTTGTTGTGAGTCCATATACTATTATGAGAGCTAAAAATACAAATGATGATAACAGAAATTAAATTTAGTAAAGCAGCTTTGATATTTAAATGTACATACACTTTCTTCATCGTTGACTAGGATCTAAGAATAAATTCCTCTCAAGAATTTAGTCTTACCTCCTTTCTGGCCAATTCTTTTCTGATCCCATTAAATTTATTGGAATAATCCTGAATAGTATTAGGTTAAAAAGACAGGGAGAAGCATGTGAAAAAAAGAAGAGGTAAACAGAAAATTGCATAAATTTTTAAAATGATAGCTTGGAACTGTTAATTTACTCATTTCTAAATCATGTTTTGAATGATTTTAAGTAGCCTTCAATTAAGAATAAAAAGTTTCTAAAATCAAGGGGAAAATTATAATTTAACACTTTTTTTAATGTATAAAGTAACACAATTACAGTTATATGTTATCACATGTTTATATCATCAATCTCAGGAAGATTTATTTGTCATTCTTCTGGATTTAAAATTGTTCAATTAATCTAAAGTTGTGAGTAAAAGTAGAAATTGCTGAGAGCAGAGCTGGTGATGGATAAAAAAAAAATCTGGGATGATATATGGATACATTTTTATACTCCAAAACAGCAGAAACTGATAATAGGATGAAATATCTTTGTTGTTATTATTAATTATTCAATTAAAAGATAAGATTTTAAGTATATTTTATCTAGTCTCTCAATCCAAAAAACTGAAGGCTGCAGAGGATTACTTTAGTAAATTTCAAGTAAGAAAACATTGTTTCGCTTAAAGAAAGAACTATGTAAGTTTTTATTCCCTTTATTTTTGTTTATTTTTATACCATTGGAAAATGAAGAGTTAAAAAATACAGAATAAGACCATTATCGTAAAAATAGAATGCTAATTAGTAAAATATCCAAGGGGGGAAGGGAGGAATTAGAGAGGCTTAGAGTGGGTGAAATAAATGGCAAAAATTCAGCTGGGACCTGAAAAGAGAGTAATGATGAGTATAGATCAATGGCAATTAATTCTATAAAAAACAATGTATGGGAATGATTGTATCAAACAATATGAATGAAGCAGTGAAACACAATGCATACAAATTTTGTATGCAAACCAATACAATAAAACAAAAACTGAAACAAACACAATCCAAAAAAATACATAAACACAAGTGCAAAAAAGATTCTGAAAGCATATGCAGAATGTTATAAAGCAAATATAACTATTCTAGAGAATCCACATTAAAACTTTATTATACAGTATTTTTGGAGAACAGGGAGCAATTTCACCATCGTATTTATAAATCAAAATAATCTCAACTAAAAAGACATCCTTTTAAGAATTATTTAAGAATAAAAATCTTGTGATTCGCTATTGTGAAGGGTATTGTTTTTCTTACTTCTGGCTCCGTGTTCTCTTTGTCACAGTACAGAAATCCAACTGATTTTTGTATACTGATCTTGTATCCTACTACTTTGCTGAATTGGTTAACTATGTCCAATAGTTTTCTTGCTGAGTCTTTAGGGGTTTCTAGGTATACTATTATTATCATCTGCATAGAGAGATAATTCTACCTCTTCTTTGCCAATTTGGATACCTCTTATTTCCTTCTCTTGTCTTATTGCTATCTCTAAGACTTCCAATACAATATTGAATAAGAGAGGTGATGGTGGGCATCCTTGCCTAGTTCCTATTCTTAAAGGGAATGCCTTTAACCTCTCTCCATTGAGAACAATGTTGGCTCTCGGGTTTGCATAAGTACTTTTTACTATGTTGAAGAAATTCCCCTCTAAACCTATTTTGTTGAGTGTTTTAATCAGGAAAGGGTGTTGGATCTTGTCAAAGGCCTTTTCTGCATCAATTGATAGGATCATGTGGTTCTTTTTCTCTGCTTTGTTAATGTGATGAATTACACTAACTGTTTTCTTTATATTGAACCATCCTTGCATACCTGTTAGGAATCCCACTTGGTCTTGGTAAATTGTTTCTTTGATGTATGGGTGAATTCTATTGGCCAGTATGTTATTCAGGATTTCTGCATCTTTGTTCACAAGAGACATTAGCCTATACTTTTCTATTTTGGTGGTGTCAATATTTGGGAGTAAATCAAACCAGAAGCACAAAGGATCTATTCAAAGAAAATTATAAAACATTACTACAAGAAACAAAAAGAGGCCTGGAGAAGTGGAAGAATATCCCTTGCACATGGATAGGAAGACTCAATATTGTGAAAATGGCAATACTACCAAAGGCTATTTACACATTCAATGCAATCTCAATACAAATACCAATCCCATTCTTCAACAAAATGGAAAATGCAATCTCCAGTTTCATTTGGAATAGAAAGAAGCCCCAAATAAGCAAATCACTCCTTAAAAATATAAACAAGGTAGGAGGCATCTCACTCCCTGATTTAAAATCCTATTACACTGCCGTGGTGGTTAAGACAGCATGGTACTGGTACAATGACAGACACATAGATCAATGGAATAGAATTGAGAACCCGGAAATCAGCCCATCTGCCTTTGATCAACTGATTTTTGACAAGGAGAGGAAATCAGTTAAGTGAGGAAACAACACCTTTTTAACAAATGGTGCTGGCAAAATTGGAAAACTATCTGCAGAAGACTCAAGCACGATCCACCCCTCACTCCATACACAAAAACCAACTCTTAGGTGAATCATGGACCTAGGACTAAAACCAAGGATTATAAACTTCATTAAAGAAAAGCTTGGAAGGACTCTAGAATTCCTAATCCACAACATAAACAGTCTTCCAAACATCCTGAAAAATCTACAATGAGAAGAAGATAAATTAGATGAATGGGACCTTCTAAAAATCCAATCCCTATGCACATCCACAAACTTCTCCAACAGGGTAAAAAGGGAAGCCACAGACTGGGAAAAAGTATTTGGTAATGACATGTCAGATAAGGGACTTATATCTAGAATTTATAAAATATCTGAGCACCACAACAAGATAAAGGTAAATAATCCAATTGAAAAATAGGCACAGGATATGAACAGACACTTCACCAAGGACGACATTCAGATGGCCAACAAGCACATGATGTTCAAAATCCCTAACTCTAAGAGAGATGCAAATCAAAACAACTATGAGATATCATCTCATCTCAGTAAGAATAGCAAAATTTAACAGAACAGCAAGCAACAAACGTTGGCGAGGTTGTGGAGAAACTGGAACTCTTATTCACTGTTGGTGGGAGTATCAAAAGGTGCAACCACTGTGGAAGATGGTATGGCACTTTCTCAAAAAGTTGCAAATAGAGATACCATTTGATCCAGCAATTCTATTACTGGGAATATACCCCAAAGAGACGATAACAGACATCCAAGAAGATATATGCACACCCATATTTATCACGGCTTTGTTCATGATAGCAAAGAGTTGGAAACAACCTAAGTGCCCATCAGCAAACGAATGGATAGAGAAGCTGTGTATATTCACAGAATGGAATACTAACTGCATTGAAAAACAAGGAACTCATGCAGTATTATTCAAAATGGGTGACCCTGGAGGACATTATGCTGAGTGAAATATCTCAGTCAAAAAGGGACAAACACTGCATTGTGCCACTCACTGTTGTAAAATAGGACTGACATCGGGGTTGGGGGGAAGCTGAGAAATATCGGATAAATAATGTATAATGCGTTGAAACAGATGAGGGAGAAAACTGTTTAAAAGGGATATGTGATTAGGTATTATTGTCATGACAGGAGTTCAGAATGAAGGCTGCATAGTGGAGGGGACCTTGGGGGAGGGATAGTAAAACAATGGGGGAACTTTTACTTTTCCAAGAGAAGAGTGTACTGGGAGGGAGGGGTGGGCAGGGAGAAAAGTGCAACAATGAATGAATGGAAATCCAAAGTCGGTAAATTTTCATTAAAATGAATAAAATAATGATAAAAAATAAAAAGAAAAAAGCAAAAAAAGAATAAAAATCAATCTTAAATGAAATGATCATGATAGATTAATATACTATTATGGTTGTTGAGTACCGTAGAGTCAGAACTGACCCATAGCTGACTGACCCTCTGGCAGGTTTTCAGAGGCAGGTAATCGTATGGGAAAAGATGGCCCATCCTTCTCCTATGGAGCAGCTGGTGGATTTGAACTGCTTGCCTCTGGATTGCAGCACAGTTTCTTGTCACTAGGCCACCAGGACTCCATAATACACATGAGTATAAAGAAACAGTTTTTGAGCACCTATAATATGTTAATTATTCTGGTTGACATATAAAAAAGCAGGTCAACTCCAAGCTTTCAAGATGAGAATATATTCAAGTGAGTACAAAAGAATAACTAAAAAAGTTGGAAAGTAGGACAATAGAATTTACAGGGTGGATGAAGTGAGTATAGAGGGGCAGCTTTCACTAGAGAAGTAAGGAAAGTCTCTGAAAATCTAAGTTGAGATGTGAATGGTAAAATTAAAGGAAAAAACATTTTAGGCAGAACTTAGGTAAACCAGCAATAAGCTTGATGAGTTTAAGTAAAAGACTATGCTTATTAGAGCAAAGATAGTAACATGTAAAATGATGAGGCTGCAGAGATCACATAGGGTCTCAGAGATAGGGTTTTTTTAAAAATTTTTTATTTTATTTCATTATTTTTTTTTGTGTACCGTCAAATCAGATCTGACTGACACAGGAGGAGTTTGTTCCTCCTTCTCCAGCAGAGCATCTGGTGGATTCGAACCGTGTACCTCCGCAATTGCAATGCAGCTTCTTGCCACTAGGCCACCAGAGCTCGCCCTCAGAGATAGTTTTAAAGACTTGGTTTTAAAAATATACTGTTTGGAAATCTGAAAGTTTTAAGAAGCAAAGAAACAAACTGAACACTAGGAAAAAACATTCCTATTGTTGCATAGAAAATTGTTGGGGGGAAGTGTGGAAGGAGAGACCAGTAGGAAAGTTGTCTTCAGAAAAAATGTATTGTGTTTATTGAAATTAGAAATGGATGATACAAAGGTGCTTAATATACTTTGAATATTCTCTTTCAGTTCCCCTTTAATAACCCTGACATATGACCAAGCTACTTCATTTGAACAATCACTGTACTAATACTTTTCATATTCTTCAATTTCATACTAAAAGACTCGGACTGGACTAATACACTGAAAAATTGAAAATTAAACCACAATTTGACACAATGACTTTAAACTAAAGCACTTTAAAAATATTATTAATTTTAATGAAAATTTACAAAGAAAAAAAAAGAAAATTTACAGAGACTTTGGGTTTCCATTCATTCACTGTTGTACTCTTCCCCCCTCCCAACCCACCCTCCTGGTTCACTACCCTCTTTGAAAAGTAAAAGAAAAATTCTTTAATTGTTTTACAAACTCTCCCCCAGGTCCACTCCACTATGCAGCCTTTGCTCTGGACTCCCGTCATGATAAAAATACCGAATGACATATCTTTATTAAACAGTTTCCTCCTTTATCTGTTTCAATGCAGTAAACATTATTGAACCCATCTTTCTCAGTCTCCCCCCAACCCCTATGTCAGTCCTATTTTACAACAGTGGTACCATGGAGTATTTGTCCTTTTGTGACTGAGATATTTCACTCAGCATAATGTCCTCCAGGGTCACCCATTTTGAATAATATTGCATGAGTTCCTTGTTTTTTTAATGCAGCATAGTATTCCATTGTGTGAATATACCACAGCTGCTCTATCCATTCGTTTGTTGATGGGCACTTAGGTTGTTTCCAACTCTTTGCTATCATGAACAAAGCTGCAATAAACATGGGTGTGCTTATATCTGCTTGGGTGTCAGTTATGGTCTCTTTGGGGTATATTTCCAGTAGTGGTATTGCGGGGTCAAATGGTATCTCTATATGCAACTTTTTGAGAAAGTGCCATACCATCTTCCACAGTGGTTGCACCATTTTACACTTCCACCAACAGTGAATAAGAGTTCCAGTTCCTCCACAACCTTGCCAGCATTTGTTGCTTGCTGTTCTGTTAAATTTTGCTATTCTGACTGGGGTGACATGATATGTTGTAGTTGTTTTATAAACTAAGGCACTTAATGTTTCTCAATCTCACATTTCATCTAAAGTATGTTGTTGTGCCTGTCTTGTGTCATCCTTGAGACCTCTGACATGCTTAAACCCATTGTTACAGTTATTGTGTCAACTCAACTTACCAAAAGTCTTCTTCTCTTTTTCTAGCCCTTCAATTTTACTCAGTATGAACTCCTGTTGGTATATATTGTCGAGTTAGAATTGAAACATACCTGACCCTCCAGGGGGTTGTTCTAGGCTGTAAATCACACAGGAGGAGACTGCCCATCTTCTTCCCACATAAGTGGGGGATCTGAACTGCATACCTTCATGTTGGCAGTGCAACTCTTTACCCACTAGGCCACCAGTGTTCCCAAGCATCAATATTGTTGCATATGCCTTCAAATAGAAACCAATCATAGCTGACTCTCCAGTGAGTTTTCAGAGGCAGGATAGGAGACTGTCCACCCTCTTCCCATGGAGGAGCTGGTGGATTTGAACCATAGCCTTTGGGATTGTGGTACAGATTCTTACCCCTAGGCCACCAGAACTTCCTTAGCATGATTGTTGTCGTGAATCACTAAGTCAGAAATGACCCATAGCTGACTCTCCAAGAGTTTTCAGAGGCAGTAAATTACATAGAAGGAGACTGTTCATGTTTCTCCTATGGAGCTACAGGTGGATTTGAACAAACGGCATACCTATGCATTGACAATGCAATGGCCTGGTGGCAAGAAGCTGCACTGCAATCCCAAAGGCACTCAGTTCAAGGCCACTGGCTGTTCTGTGGGAGAAAAATGGGCACTCTCCTATTGTGAGATTAACTGTCTCTGAACCCCTCCCAGAGGGTCACAGATGGGTTAATTCAGACTCTACAGTATGCAACAACAAGGAGCCACCAGAACTTCCTTGTATGAACATTGTTGTTGCCATCTGCTATTAAGTTGGAAATGACACACAGCTGACCCTACAGTGGGTTTTCAAATGCAGTAAATCACACATGAAGAGACTGTCCATCCTTCTCCCAAGGGCAGCTGATGGATTTGAACCACCTTCAGGATTGCAGTGCAGCTTCTTACCACTAGGCTGCCAGTGCTCCCTTGAATGGACAGTAAGTAGCAAATAATGACTACAGCATATACCTCAAAAAGGGATAAAGTTATGCAGTTATAATGAGTGGAATTAATTAGTGAAGGTCATATTAGAGTTGACTGAGCCTTTACTTCAATATTTATTCTTACTAATTAGTGAAATAAATTTTGGGGAGCTAGGTGGGCTCAAAGAAAGCTTCTTCACATGTGAACGCCATCACAGAATTTGTGAAATTGGAGGAACCTAAGAAAGTTGGACAATGAACAAGGATGGCAAAAGAGAACTGAAGCCTCTGAACTGTGGTGTTGAAGAAGAGCACTGAATATCTCAAGGACTGCCAAAAGAACAAACAAAATCTGTTTTGGAGGAAGTGCATCCTGGGTACTTCTTAGATACAATGATGTTGAAACTTTGTCTTACATACTTTTGACATGCTGTCAGGATGGATGACAATCCTTAGGAAGACATGCTAGGAATGGTAACGGGTCAGAGAGACAAGACTGTCAAAGAGCTGCACTGAAACAGTTACTATAAAAATTGGCTTGGGCATGTTAGAGATTGCGAAGATGGTGCAGATTAGCGCAGGATTTCTAGCTATCATTCATAGTGTTACTGAGTCAAAGTTGGCTTGATAGCATCTCACAACAGGAAACCACTGAAAAAAATAATGGTGTAACATTTTTTATACCCAAAGTATTATTAGAAGAATCTCTCAGAAGTATAACCATGATTATTTCTTAGATAATCAGGGCTCAAGTAGATCCTATACCATTAAAGAAATGTTGTTTCTGTTTATCTGCATATCAGATTTGGCTTAATTTCCTTTTCAAATAAAAACTATTTTCTCTATAATCAAAGTGTACAACTTTCCAGCATTTTAAGACAATAAAAAAGTAGTAATTAAAAAAAATTTAAGTAATCCTTTGTCCATTAAGCTAGATAGAAACACAGGGCATTAATATACAAACACAATTTTTTTTTAACTTTACATACCACAGATGCTCCTCTGCCAGTCTGTGTACTACCAAGCCATGGCATGTTGATTGGAGTGCCAGGATTGCTATGTGTATATGGTGTCGTACCTTGAATAGCTGTTAAATCATCACGAGCATGTATAACCAAGAAATCTTCTGAGCTGCAAAGGAAACGTAAATGATCCATGAGTTCTTTATTTCTTGTTTTATACCCCAAAGCACTATTATTTAAGATTTAACTTTATATTTTCTTTTACAGCTTTCTTCAGTTCTTACTCCTAACTCACAGAAAACGACTTCACACTCCAACATTATCAGGTCCTTTACCCACTTCTAACCTTCAATTTCCTTCTCTGAAGTTTTGGTGACTTTGTTTAATTCATTAGCAGACATCAGCCTCAACTCAACTGACAACTGTTTACAAACTAACCAATTCAATTCTCACAACCATCAATTCAGAACTAGCAAGTGTTCAGGAAACTTTAAATCACAGGAGAGGAGAATCTCCACCTTTCTCCCTAGGAGCTGCTGACGTATCTGAACTGGCAGAGAATTGGCTGCCTTTGGCTTAGTAGCACCAATTCCCTACAGACTACTCCACTAGTTGTTATGTGCCATTGCTTTGTCTGTGACTCATAGTGACCCTATGTACAACTCTAAACCCTACTCTGTCCTGTGCCAATCTCATTGTCTCTGACATACCTACCCCAATTACCCCAGTCACTGAATCAATCCACCTCACAGAGAGTCTTCCTCTCCTGCACTGTCCCTCCACCCTCCCAAGCTTGATGTCCCTCTCCAAGGACTGATCCTGTCTTGCAACATTTCCAATGACAGAGCTTTAGAATCCTTGCCTCCAAGGAGCAGCCTGGTCTCAACCTCTCTAGGTTAAAATTTTGGAACAACTCCACTAGAGCCTTCTTTTAATTTAAGGTTGTTGGAGTGTATTGTTGAGTTGGAACCAACTAATAGCTGACCCTCTAGCAGGATTTCAGAGGCAGAAAATAGCATGTGAGAATACCTATCTTTCTCCCATAATGCAACTGGTGGAGTCAAACTGTGTGTCTTTGGGTTGGCATGCAACTCCTTACCACTAAGTCACAATCTAACAGTATTTTTTAAAGACTCTTGAGAAAGTTATAGTTCTCTGAATTCAGTAATTCATATTGCAAAGTTCCTAAATAAAAACAAAGTATAAAGGTACCCTTTGGTTTCCATCTCTATATCATCATCCACCCATGTATAGATCTGTGTAGACAGAATTCCAGAAACATCTAATTCTTGGATGTCATGGCTGGAAGCAATTGCAATGCAGTTTCTATTTGCCTGAAACAGAAATTATAGGATAATTTTAAAATAAGAAAGGACAACATCTGTATGTACCTGTTCTGACCACGAAAATGATAAATAACATTTAGAAATGATAACTTTGAAGTACACATTGTATTATTAGGAATGGGTATTTTACATTAATTTTATCATATTATTTATAAGCTTGAATTGAAGATATGTTTATGTTCCGAAGAATCACAAGAATGCCAATGCTACAGGGTTAATATATGTACTACTTTGTGTCCTTTCCTGGCATCTCTAGTCTGCTATCATCTACCCAGGGTTATACAATCTGGATTTTACAGGAGATGGAGAAGTTGGGGGCCCTACTAAAGAAATAATGATATGTCAGAGATAATAAAGATGGCACAGGATAGGACAGGGTTTAGATCTGTTATTCACAGGATTGCTAAGGGTCACTTACCCTGCAGGCACCTAACAACAACAACAACAACAACAATCTACTACTAAATAGCATCAAATCAACAAAACTTACTAAAAAAAATAAAACAAAAAAAAACTTACTAATAGCTGATCCTCCAGACAATTTTTGGAGTCTATAAATTGTACAGGAGGAGACTATCCATCATTCTCCAGCAAAGCGTCTAGTGGAATCGAACCTCTGGAGAGGGCACTGTCTTTGAGTAAGACAACTGCTGACCAGCTATGCCACCAGAGCTCCCAGAAAAGATCACTTTCTCTTAAACTGCCTTTAATTGTAGACATTGTAGACAAGAAAAACAGAAGAGATAAAATGATTCAAAGAACTTTACTTGGACTCTTTCCTTTGTTCCTGTGAAGTAACCCTCTGAATTTTCTTACTAACTGAGGTGCCTTTATTATCTAAAACCTCAAAGGAACACTTTGGGATTCATACAGATGAGAAATGAGCTGGTCAGGTAATCCTGGAAAAGGAAAAGAATAAAAACCTAAAAAACAAACAACAAACCAAGTACAGAAACTCTACACTGAGAATTGTGGTAAGCCTTCCTTCTTTGTGCTAATTCTTCTTTAAGCTAATCATGATCCTTTTGTTAATGAATTAACAAATCCATTGCACTGAAAACAAACAAGTACAAGAAGGAAAATCCAGAGGAGGATTCTGAGCTTGAGCATAAATAAGGGGTAGTGAGAAAACTGATTTTGTGGCAAGTCAAGAATGCCGTGTGCACTCATGGGTTTGCAGCTGAGATTTATCTATTTGACAATCTGAAAGCTAGTGTTCTTTTACTTTATTTGTGCTTACGCGAAACCTATACTTGGACCAGGAGGTAGTCGTCAGAACAGAGCAAAGAAACACTGCATGGTTCAAAACTGGGAAGGGTGTACATTAAGGATGTATCCTATCTCCGTATCTTTTCAATCTATATGCTGAACAGATTATCCAGAAGGCTGGGCTCTATGAAGAGAAGTGTGGCATCAGGATTGGAGGTAGACTTATCAACAACCTGCCTTATGCAGATGACACAACCCTGCTTGCTGAAACAGAGGAGGACATGAAGTGCTTGCTGCAGAAGGTCAAGGACTGCAGCCTTCAATATGGATTGAAGTTCAACATCAAGAAAACAAAGATTCTTACCATGGCAGCATCATGAAAGATGGTGAAGAGATTGAGATTGTTGACAGCTTCAGTTTGCTTGGCTCTACAATCAACACTCTTGGTACCAGCAGCTAGGAAATTAAATGATGAATTGCACTGGGAATGTCTGCTGTCGGAGACCTCTCCAAAGTACTGAAGAGCAACAAGGTCAATCTGGAGACTAAGGTGCACTTGATACAGGCCATGGTCTTTGCAATTACTTGCTATGCATCAGAGAGGAAGACAATGACTAGGGATGATAGAAGGATAGTTGATGCCTTTGAGCTGTGGTGCTGGAGAAGAGTGTTGAATAGACCATGGACTTTTAGGAGAACAAACAAGTTTGTCCTGGTGAGGGTGAAGCCAATCTGCTCCTTAGAGACAAGGATTCTGAAGCTTCAACTGGCATACTTTGGACATGTTGCAAGACGGGATCAGGCCTTGGAGAGGGATGTCATGCTTGGGAGGGTGGAGGGACAGTGCAGGAGAGGAAGACCCTCAATGAGGTGGACTGATTCAGTCACTGGGGTAACGGGGATGGGTGTGTTGGAGACAATAAGATTGGCAAGGCATAAAGAAGGGTTTAGGGATGTAGTATGTAGGGTCGCTATGAGTCGCAGGCGACTCAACAGCACATAACAGCAACAACAAATACCGAAGTCAGGGTCAGGTAAAAGAGTCTGGTTTTACAACAGAATAGGGAATTTAAAAGTGACAAGCTGATATATACTTATACATGGCCCCAAGCAACAGTCGTTCTTAAAGGAAATGCAACCAAGGTGCTCCCTCGAGGCAAAGATGGCGACGACACACGTCAGATACTTTGACTATGTGGTCAAGAGGGACCAGTCCTTGGAAAAAGACAACATGGTTGGACAGATGGAGGGTTAGAAAAATATTCTTGATAAGATGAAATAACACAGCAAATATAATGGTGGGCTCAAGCATATCAAAGAAAGCTAGGATGTACAGAATAAAGGAGAAGGGTCAGAGGTTTGGTTTTTTTTTTCCCCTGAGATGGCATCTAACAAAAATTTATGGAGGAAGAAAACAGTGCTATTTACAACATATCAACGGTTGATATGTGAGGTCTGATTTATTATATTCTTGACAATAAGAGTCATAGAAGAATGTCATATGGTTAAAAAAAGAATGGGTGAAGCTTTGGATCATAAAATAGTTTCTCCCTATTGAGCAAAAGGCAGATATACATATGGCAGATTAGAAAAGATTTGCCTTCCGCAAGTTCGGTGACCTTATCTAGTACTGCAAACCAATACATATGAAGACATCATCTAGGCCTATTTCTGTAATTCTGAAGAAAAGACACTCATGGAACCAAGATAAAAATGCTGAGAGTTTGGATATTTAGTGTTAATAATAGATGTATCTCTGATCCAGGTGTCTCATGTTTTTTAATAAAACTCATGCTCTAAATGTACACTCTACCTTGTTAGGACAAATAATGCATCTATTAGCTATGTAATGGGAGTCTTTAATCTGCCCTTTAAAGTAAAATACTTGTCTATCTAAACATAGTGGAGGGCCCTTGTATTTAAGGCCAGGCCCTTGTCTCCATTTTGGATACTGGGTGAAGCAGCTGGATTCTGTAAGATGGGTGCTCTTGTTTTGGTGAGGGTCAGTGTGTTTTGGTTTTGTGTTTGTTTGTTTTTTTTAATTTAAGCCTCTTGTTAGAGTTAACAAGACCTTGTGGAGGGCCCTTGTATTTAAGATGGTTGAGCCCGATGGCTGCTTTTGGAGGAATATTCTTCTAAGTTGCACAACACTTCTCTGTCTACTTGCTGTACTGAGGTAATCTGGGGTTGCTGTGATTCTGAACCTGCCACTGGGGTGTCAAATGCCGTAACAGTTGTCTATGGACAGTGTTTGATGGAGCTCCCAGTTTAAGGCTTGTTTAGAAGCAGAAGTGGTATCCATTTCCTAAACAACATGCCTCTGGAAACTCTATGAACTTGGAAAAGCAATGATAGTTATAGAAAGGCTTCAGGTCTTTTGTACATAGGGTCACGATGAGTCATGCTCAACGCAAGAGCAATCAACAACAACGACTAATTGTCTATTAGATATTGTCCTAAAGCACAGCATCCATATTAAGACAGACTAGGGAGAAGGACTGGCCATCTACTTCTGATATATCCGGCCTTGGAAAACTCTATGCAAAACAATTAGACTAGAACAAGGGCTGAGTCCTTGTACTGGGAATCACAAAGGAGGAGGAACAATTTCATATAAGTACTGCTGATTGGAACATGCAATGTAAGAAGTATGAATGCAAGAAAATTGGATACTATTAAGGAAGAAGTGTGATGCATAAATATTGACATACTAGGCTTAGATGAAATGAGATGGACTGGGATGAGACTTTTTTTGTGTGTGTGTTTCTTTTTTTAATTATTATTATTATAATGAATGTTTACAGAGACTTTGGATTTCCATTAATTCACTGTTGCATTTTTCTCCCTGCTCTTTCCTCCCCCCGACTTTGTGCTTCTCTTTGAAAAGTAAAAGAAAAATTCTATCATTGGTATACAATTCCCCTCACTCCCATTCTGCCCAGTACACTCCACTATGCAACCTTCATTCTGGACTCTTGTCATGACAATAATACCCAATCATATATCACTTTTAAACAGTTCTCTCCCTCATCAGTTTCAATGCAGTATACATATTTTATCCAATCTTTCTCAGTAAGATGAGACATTTTTAATCAATCGTATGATATATAGCAGGAATTGTATATGGGTCATTTAACCCTGGTATGCCCACTTGCTGTACAGAGGTAACTCGTGGTCACTGTGAAGCCGAACACTGTGACACTGAGGAGTCAAATGTGAAAATGATTACCCATGGTGGACAGTGTTTGGTGAAGCTCCCCGATTAAAACAAGCTTGGAAGCAGGAGTGGCATCCACTTCCACAATAGCTTGCCTCGGGAAACCCTATGAATCTGTAGAAAGGATGAAAGTTATACAGGAGGTGTCTAGGACTTTTGTTCATAAGGTCACTGTTAGTCACCTGCGACTGGAAGGTACTTAACAACGATGATATATTATGTGGGAATTTAAAAGGTGAGGATAAACAAGGTCACATTCATTGTTAAAAAGACCATTTCAACAGGATTAATATCCATATGCATACAAGAAAGGCCTATTAATAGCACTCTCATTCAAATATATGCACCAATGCACCAACAACCAGAGCCAAAAAGAAGGAAATAGATGACTTATACCAAGTTTTGCAGTCAGAAACTGACTGAATACGCACCTAAGATGCATTAATAAGAATGGATGACTGTAATGCAAAAGTTGGGAACAAGAAAGAACGATCAGTAGTCAGAAAACATGGACTTGATAACAGATATGAGGCTGGAGATAAAGTGATAGAATTTTATACAA